GAATGAATTACAGTTCAGAGCATTAAGCCAGACGCTCGGGCCAAACGGGACAGGTGTGGGTGTGCCCGTAGCTGCTTCTCCAATTGACTTAAATCACAGCAACAGTGCAGGGATCGAAAACAGCCCTCGATTAATGAGTGGGGAAATCTCCAACATTAGCCCACGCCCTGAGGGCAGCTGGGGTCCAGGCCCTGCTCAGTAAAATAGAAGAGCCCTCCTTTTACGGAGACTGATCTGTTAACATATGGGCAAAGTGTTCGACCCACTGTAAGGTCCTCTCCAGAGGAGAAGCTGAGACCGAGCAAGAGGTGGGTGTGCACGAGCGAAGACTTGCGGGGAGGACGGTGGTTTTGAAGTTGCTCGATTGTTACTTTTGTAAGCGGGGGCCAAATAGCACATGGGAAACATGCGGCTAAGGCAAAGCTGCCGCAGATTCTAAATGCCCATCCGCACAGCCCTGCCCTTCCGAACGCACCCCGCACCCCGCCACAAACCTGGAGCAGACAATCTGGTTTTGCGCGTGGAAAGAGCACGTGTTCAGTATCTTCGGCGGGCAGCGTCTTTTGCTTCCCCTGGCAATCAGGTCCTGCGTTTTCCTTCCAAAACAGATCTGGAGCTTTACTGGTGAGAGCCAAGGGACACTGTGGAGAGACTCCAGGTTAACGCCCTGTCTTAACTCCACCGTGACACTGGGGATGTATCGCTTTGGGGCACAGGCGTTAATGTGTGTGTGGGTAGGCACGTCCCTGGCCTACGCTAAGGTGACGGGACTGTTTGCCGGTGCTCCACCGGCCCCAGCCTGTGGTCGCGGGCACCTCTGTTCCCTTGCCCACATCTCTGTTACCCCATCGGCACATCAAAGGACTTGAGCACAGATCATTGTCAAGGGCCCTCTTAGTTCTGAGGTTCTCTGACCAAACGTCTCCTGGTCTCGGACTTAATTAAACCTATTAAGAACATTATTAGCTGGATTTGTGAATACTGACTAATGAGCCCACTCATTTTAGCCTAAGATGACAGCTTAGTGTCCTGCTCTTTGGGATTTGTTTTCTAGGTCATTGATGGAGACCAGATAGATGTATTTGAGAGCCTGCCATCCACATTAGGACTGTGTCCTGTGTAGGCTCATTCTGTCCTCCGTTACAGCACATTGTCACCCAGAAGGCTCATGCTAGGCGAGCATGTTTTGCATGGTGTTAAGACAATTTAAAGAATTTTAAACTGTTGCTTTTTACAGTCAATTATAGTAAAGATTCCCTTTGATTACTTCATGAATTTGTATACCATGGACATCTCAGACACACACACACACACGCGAAATGGCTGCTTTGGGTTCTGTGGAGACCGTTCCACATTGAATGTTGTAGTTGTTCTAGACATTTACAAACCACCCCCTTGCCTTCCTCCATGATGATGTCATTTCCTGGCTGAGTCAAGGCCACTCATCTGTTTGTGTGCTTGGTTTTGAGAATTAGTGAGCATATGGCCAGAATTTGGGTAGGGCAGGTTTTTACTCACTGGATTGGGTAAGAATGGTGACCATCCAATGTGTACCATGGTTTCTGAACTATAGGAGAACAAACAAACCTGCAGAGACTTCCTTAAAAAAAAAAAAAAAAAATAGGAAGAAAAGCCACTACTGCATTTTATGTCTCTGTTTTTGGCATCCCACCGATGTTTCAAGTGGGGATTAGTCTTTCTCACTGTCACGATGCAACTGTGTACAGAGACGGTGGCTGTGTGATCAGAGGGAGCCCTTGGTGATATCATGTAAGAGCTACTTAGCAGTGGCCTTAAAAAATAAAAATGGTGACTCTCTGAAACAAAGGTGACTCTAATTTGGCGTTGTGGATGCGTACGGAAACTTTGGAATAGCATGCCGATTACCCGGCGGTGACGAAGCCCTGTACTCTGCCCTTGCACGAAAACCAGCCGCGTTGTACTTCACCAACTTGCCCACAACCCACGTGACCCTCAGTCCTCCCGTGGCAATCCCTACGTCACATGACCTCAGCGCAGTGGCATTGGGGAGAAATAAGAGGTGCCTCTGACTTTACTGAACGTGATTATCGTTTTCACAGGTGCCTAAGAGATTTAGAATCTACTTTCTGTTCTCAGTTCTTAAATGAAAAGTCTCAAATAGTTCCCTGTGCATTGAAAAACAGAAAGTCCTTGAGAGGACTGCCACTCCAACGACACAGGAGACCCGTGCCGCAGAGGATAATTGGAAAACCGCTCCTTCGCCATCAAGGCACCGAGCTTAAAGGGAGAAGGTGTGGTGGTGCCTAGAAGAGATATACAAACTAACCCATGCGCCAGCCTCAGGCCCCTTTCCCTGTCTCAGAGTCACAGGCAGGGGACCCAGTGACAACGACGACGATAAACCCGTGACTGGAGGTGTTTCACCTGTATTTCTTTCTGTAGGATTTCATGGTGCTTTAAA